GGAGGGAAATGTTCTGTACGAAATAGGTGTCTTCTGGGAAGGGAGGCGCGGCGGCGGAGGACAGAGCCCTCCTGTTTGCAAACAGAAGCATTTGCATTGATCTGAGTGGGAGCCTGACCATGTGCTCCTGTGCCAATTAGGCGCACATCTGATGCTCTGGAATTGCGCAACGGCCATTGCGCATTCAGAACTCGCCATAACAAGAGGAGAAAATGTCAGCCGGGGGCTGAAGGTCTCTCTCTCTCCCCCCCCCACTCCACCCCCGCAATCTTCCCCAGAGGGAGGCGGGGAGGGCAAATGAGGGAATGGTAATTAAAGGAACACCGGGTGTTAATCGAAACGATAGCTTCCTGATAGCACTAATATTAGCCGTTCGAGGAAAATGTGGGCGCTCATTAATAACCAGCGCCGCACAGCAATGGAAAAGGAATATATATGCGTGGAGCAAATAAAATCCCTCGGAATGTCTCCCGCTTGCACTGCTGGCCAGCCAGCGAAATGTGTGCATGTGTTATATGCGTAGATACACACAGATACACAAATATAATCAATGCATGCGTTATAGTGATTATCTGGCCTCTCTCCCCCTCTGCCCCCTCCCTCTTCCTGTTATGTTTCTTCCTCTTAATTGAAAATCGTTAAATTTAGGGATGGGGAGGGGGCGCCGAGGAAGTGGATGGAGAGAGTGGCGGGGCGACTTTTGCATAAGTGATATTTATCGCAAAGGTGAAAACAATTAACTAGCGTGTTCAGAGCTTCTGCCAGCGAGGGCAGGCCGGCCTGGCGATGGTTACGCGCGGCTAAGGGGAGAGACCACCACTACCAGCCCAGCCCAGAAAAGGCTGTTAGGAGAAACGTCTGCCTTCTGCATCTCTCTCTCTCTGTGTGGATAAATTTTAATGGTAAAATTCGAACCAGTGAAACCCGTCGGCTCTTCCTGCTGCTGCTTTTTCGAGTGGCTGCCTATTATTATTATTATTATTATTATTATTATTATTATTATTATTATTATTATTATTGCAGGCTGCTTTCTGCTTGAGCAAACAGCCTAAACAGACATTAAATATGTAAAGAAATCACCCCGGCACAGCGGCCCATCTCGCCCTGTGGGGCTTGAGCATGAATTTTTAATAGCTCGGAGAGAGAGAGATGGAGAGACTATACCAAGTCACCTTCCATCATCACTCAAACGCGGCTCTTGAAATTGGCCAGACCTTCCCCCACCCCTCTGCACAGGTCGCTGCTGTTGCAGCTGTGAAATTGACTGGACCAAACGGTGGGTTGTCACTCCCTTGAAATGCGCAGAAACCTCCATCCTCGGTTTGCTGCCAAGGCTCCGGTTCTGCGACTCCTCAACCCAAACCGGAGTGCGCTTCGCAATCCACCCCCACCCCACAAGCCTTCCCCATTTCCCCCCGGCTCTCCATAAGCACCCAGATTTAGTTTAATAATTCATAGAAAGAGGGCTTTTGTTCTTTTTCTCTGCGCACGTCCCCCGCGCTTTTGCTGGTGTCTGCAGCTACGCGTAAAGTTCATGGTAATATCTCCTCTCTCCGTTGGATCCTTCCAGCGATGCCAGCTGCTTCTCCAATAGACAAGCTGCGGTGGTGAATATGGCAATATTGGCCATCCCCGCACCGTGGAGAACTCCTTAGGCTGCGTTGCAACAAGTGTGCCAGGGCTACTCGGAATAAAACGGCGGATCAACATCCAAAACGGAACGCGGTTTTTCAAAAGGTGCAACCCGCATACTGTTGAAAGTAACAAGGGAACGAGATTGTGGCTGTACTAGAAACCTTATCAAACAATCAAGTTTTTCCTCCTCTTTAACTGACTCCTAGCCGCACCTTCAACGCACCTGCTGGAAGGAAAGCTCGTTGATTTCAATGGGCCCTACTTTCGCGTAGCGCATTCAGAGGGGAGCTGCAAGGAAGCAGCCTAAGAGCACAAGCCTCTATATGTTTACTCGGAAGTAAGTGTCGCTGTGGAGTTAAAAGTGCAACCTAAATGGGATCGCGACGCCAAAAACGTTCATAATAGTATCTTAGCCTACTGATATATAATAGGCAGGACGGGAAAGTATTTCCCACCTATTGTCACCCTTGCACCTCTGATTCTGGATTATAATCGGGCAGCTTTGAAAGTCAGCATATTTTTTAATGCTTTGAAATATGAGCTTCTAGACACAAGATGTGCGTGCGGTCCCATTGGAATCCATAGGGTTTACTTCCAAAGAAGGGCGTTGAGGACTTGAATCCTAAAAAGCAAGAGACTTGGGAGTGCATTCCAGCGCTTCCCCCCATTCTGAAATTCCTTCGGCTCTGCGTAAATCAGAAAAACCAGAAAGAAATATGGGACCCCCTCAGCACCCCAGTCTAAAATAACGCCGCGTTAAACCAAGAGGAAAACACCACCGTAAGACTCTCTCCGGCCCCCCTCCCTTCGTCCCCAACGCTTTGCTTTATTACCGCAAACAACCTTGCTATTAAAAGGGGGAATACCATGCAAAAGGCGGGTCGATAGACCAATTCAGACGGTTCTCACGTTAATTATCATCAGTAAGACCCAATGAGAAAGGGGAGGGGGGCCGAGAGGGAGGGAAGGAGCGGGTGGAAGCGGAGCTCATCTTTGGAGACGAGGTGTTCACAAACTGTCTTGTTAGGGAAAGAGTGACGTGACAACACACACACACGAACAAAGGATGTAGCCACACACCCAGCCTCGCCAGGAAAGCAAAACATTCACACATTCAATTTCCTCTCCTGCCTTAGTTTCCCACGAGCTGGTAACGCGGCTCATAATTAAGAGAGCAGGAATGCTAATTATTAATAAATCGCTGGAGACGCGTCAGGAAAAGAAACCCCACTCCCCACCCTCCTAGCGCCCCCTCCCCAAAGGAAATTTGAAATCTCCTGCAAAGGATCGATCAGTCCTTTGGTATAAAAGGCAAGGGTAATTTTGGAGATGGGGTGGGGTGGGAAATTGGGGTGAGGTGAGAAGAATTTGGAAGCGAAGTCATCTCTTGGGGGGGGGGAGGTATCCCTATGTAGTAGTTTTCCCCTCTGCTAATCAATACCAGCCAACGATTAATTGCAACAGACCAGAATCAATCAAACTACAGGTGAATGAGGCAATTGTCAAGGATAGAGGAGGAGGGATTCCTTTTATTAAACGCGGTTGTAAACATTGGACGGGGGCGTTAGACTGCGTGAGAATGTTTAAATATGCCCAGCTGGAGCAAGCCTAGGAAACAATAGATCTCAATGTACCAGAAATCAACACGCTCCTCTGTGACTCTAGCCTTGGGCATCTAACTACCTTGTGATGAAGGGTGATGAAAGGATGAGAGGCGAATCCCCGCGCAGGGTTATCTTTCCATACCCGAGGCTGTACCGCAAAATAGCTGTCAAAACCATGGTGCAATCAGTTTCCCCTACTGATGCATACATTATATGGGATGGAAATATATATATTTATACACATTCCCTTCTGGCGTCTCCCAGTTTCAGCCCATTCAGCGTGATTTGCATAGTAAGATCTGCCGACCTGACCCCCCTGCCCACCTTTATCCAGCTGATTCATTTGTCAACAATCCGTACTGTAATATTTTTTGATTACGCACAAATGGACGAAATTCCTTGCCATCTTTAGAACAATAGAAGGGGTAGAAGGCTTACCTTAGCTGCCACTAGAGGGCGCCCGCAAACAACTCGGCACACATCAAAAGAACAATATACCAAAAAAATGTGATTGTTCTCTCTCCTTCCCCCTCCCCCCACGCTCAAATATATCCAATCTGTTCTGCAGAAAATAGCGCCCTTTCCCCTGCTTCCTTCCCTCCCTCCCAAAAGAGTCCCCAAGCTTTCTGATGCGTTCATCTGGTAGCTTTCAATCTCAGCGCCTCCTTTTTCGCAGAGCGAACGCGGGTTTTAATTCTCCATTTCCACTCATGATGACTTTTAAATGATACACACACATATCTGAAGGGAAAGGTGGGGGGTGGGGGTAGACGAGGATGGAAGATTTCCACCTCGACACAACCACATACGCTTTTATTTATCTTGCAGACACCATAGCAGACGCCAAAAAGAAAGGCTTTGGTTTTGTGCTCCATTTCGAATGTAATAAATAGACGAAAGAATTCACAAACAGCACTCAGAGATTGGAACTGAGAAAGGCACTGTCCTTTCCCAAAGCTGGGATAGTCAACGTGGCGCTCGCCAGATGCTTTTTGCACTCCCCTTAGCCCCAGACAGCATGGTCAGTGGGTCAGCAATGAAGTCCAGCATCACCTGGCGAAGGGGCACTAGGTTGGCGACCCCTGTTTCACAGCATACACAAAGCTGTAGCTGTCTTCTCCCGCGCCCGCTCCCCGCGCATCCTAAAAGCTGGTCAGGGGAGAAGAGCTGCTCCCTTTTCTCCATCTTCCAGGGAACTTTCCTGGGAGAGAAGGGGCACAACACAACGACAACAACACAACCCTCTCCAAAGAAGATGTCTAATTTTGGAGCATTCCTGCTCGGAAGATAGAAACATCGGGGATTGTTTATAGGTGTCGCCATCCAGAAGTACCACTGAGACCCAAACCGAGACCACCGAATTAATAATAATAATAATAATAATAATAATAATAATAATAATAATAATAATAGGGCGGCAAGGGCGCGGAGGGAGGCGGGAAGGAGACCAAGGGGCCTGGGCATTGTCTCGCGAGCATCCTCTCCCGAAAACCAAGGCGGTTGGTTCTTGGGACAACCCATCAGCCAAGTTCAAAAGCCTGTGCAGCACTCAGGCCCTACACACACACACACACACACACACACACACACACACACACACACACGTAGGCGAAGTAACCTCTCTCCCTAGCCTCCAACCTGTTTTGAACCGAGGACCAACAGACTTGGCCGCTGACTCCCTGGGAGAGCGAATATTCTGGTGACCCCCCGTGACACAAGGAAAGACCGGGGAGAGCGAGAGGGACGGGTGGGAAGGCTTACCAGCAAGTCTTAAGGCTGACATCCTCTGGAACTCGGGTTCCTGCAGCCATTTCCACATTCTCCTGAAGGTCTCCCTGCCCGATTTCAGTTTACTCCAAGGTTTAGGGTTCCTTAGAAGGTCTGAAAGGGTCCCCTGAGAACGGCACAGCACCCTCTGGGCGAAAATGGCCTGCGGGATGCTGTAGCGCTTCAGCTCGGCCGTGATTCTCTGCGCCACTTCTTTGGTGTTGATCTCTTCCAGCTGCCCGGAATTGTTGACCTGGGTTCCCGAGGAAGAAGACGGGGGCCTCTCCCTGCCGGAGGCCAAGACCGGCCCGTGAGACTGAGGGTGGCCTCCGGGGTGGCTGGGGTGGTGCATCCCGTTGAGGTGAGACATCATAGGCGCCGGAGGGGTCCCCAGGCCCCGCGACAGGTGCTGCTCCCCGCGGGCCAGCATGGCAGTGTGCGCGTCGAAGTTGGGGCTCAGCATCTTCTCGTGGCCCGCGGGGCCGTAGCTCTGCAGGCCCTGCTGGGTGTTGTGGATGGAGCCCAGCCCGTTGCCCAGAGGGCTGCCGCCCAAGGGGGACAAGCTCTGGCCCATGCCGGGCATCTCCTTGTAAGGGCTGTAGAGGTTGTTCATGGCCGGGAGGCCCCTCTCGTCGCGCATGAGGGTGAAGCTGCCGCTCACGTTGCCCGACAGGCGCTGGTGGTGGTGGTGGTGCGCGTGCGGGTGGTGGTGCGGGTGGTGGTGGTGGTGGTGCGGGTGGTGGTGCGCGTGCGGGTGGTGGAACTTATCCGACACGGTGGAGATGGGGGGCAAGGGCTGCAGCGGCGTCAGCGTGGTGTAGGTGCTGGTCATGCTCATGCCCGGAGGAGACGAGTCGCACGGCATGCTCATGGCGTGGTGCAAGGGATGGACAGCTCCGCGCGGTAGTCCCCCGCGCCGTCCAGCAACGAGGCCATGCTGGTCACCATGGCTGAACGCGACGAGGCGGACGCCAAGTCCTGGTGGGAAGGCGGCGGCGGAGGGCCTGGAGGCGGCGGCGGCGGCGGCGGCGGGTGGACCCGGAGCGATCCGGCGCTCCGGCTGCTGGGGTGGTGGTGGGGGCTGGGGCTGCCCATCAGCTCCTGCTCATGGCTCGAGGGCCCGTGCAAGGGGCCCAGCGTCTCCATTGTCATCTCCGGGTTCATGGCGCAGCTGTCCAGCTCTTTGGTTAGGCATCGATAGGAGGTGCACGCAGTCTTCATTCAGTCCATGGAGAGGGGTGGTCGGCACCAGGGGGCTTCGCGGGGGTGGGTGCAGAGGGGGAAGGCAGGCAGGCAGACGGAGCTCCGGGGGTCGCTTGGCTCTGGGGAAGGGGAGGAGGTGGGGGGGGGATCAAAAGCTCCAGCCGCGGCGCTTTGCCAGAGGAAGATGCTGGATGCTGCTGCTGCTGCCGCTCCTGCTGTGTTGGGTTTTCCTTTCTTTTTTTTGGACGGGGGGGTGTCGATATAAGGCCTCTCAGTTGTGTGCGTGTGTGAATTGTGTGGTGAGTGCGTGTGGGGGGCGGGAGGGGAGCCGAGAGAGAGAGAAGGGGGGGTGGGGGAGAGAAAGAGAGAGAGAGAGAAGGGAGGGCAGCCACCAGCCTCTCCGTCAGCCTGGCCAGCGCCGCTGCAGCCGCCTCGCCATGTCCGAGCCCTTTCCTGCTCTTACGTCGTCTGTTTGGGTAGCTGGAGCTGTCCAGAGTTGCGATCGAGGCTCGCCTCCCATCAACCTAGCCCAGCCCCGGGGAAAAGGCGGGCTCTGCGGACGGATGGACGAGGAGATCGCCCACTCAGGACGCCTCGTCGAGCCAGCCGGCTCAAGGTCTGCGGGAGCCCGGCCAATGGCAGAGGCGAGGAGGAGGAGCGACGCGCCGGGAGGCTTCAAGCTTGCCTGAAGATTCCCAGGCACTGGAATCAAACGCCAAGGAGAGAGGCAGAGAGAGAGAATGAAAGAGAGAGAGAGAATTTAAAGATGCAGCGTCCTCCTGCCTTGGGTATCGAGACGGAGCTGGCCAGCCCTGCTCTTCTCTTTCTCTCTCTCCGCGCCCAGGCGCAAGCAGGGCGCACGGCGCGCACAAAGGGAACGCGGGAGAGGGAGCTTCTGAAGATGGGGGGGGGGGAGAGAGGAGAGCCACGCCCGGGAGCTGCCTCCCTTCTCGGAAATAAAAATAAAATAACGGGGTACCGCCAAGGCAGTAATCAGAGGCGGTTAAGTGGGTACCAAAAAGGGGTGGCGATGCCCAGCAGAAATCTCTTTTCCAGCTCTCCTTTCTGTTAGGCACAGGCACCAGCTAGTCAACGTTAAAGGCTACAACACACACACACACACAAAGACACACACACAAATATCTATGTAGCGCCCCACTGTTAGTGATTGCCCCCCCCCGCGCATTTTCATGGTCGGTCTTTATTTAGGGAGCCCGTCCACCGCCAACCCAGCTATCCAGGGCTGCAACGCCTCTGCGCACCTGCCTGAAAGCTAGCCTCCCTGGAGTCCTGTGGGGTTTCCTTCGAGTAAGACAGGCAGCGGATCCGGCTCTTCCTCACCAAACACCCAGCCCCCTACCCAAGCTTTGCCTTTCTACACCAGCTCAAAGTCCCTCAAAGGTGATGTTCCGTGTTGTTTTTTTACTGGGAATATTTGGGCTGGCTTTGCTGGATGGCTGGTCTTTAGAAAAAAATAAAAATCGCAAATAATAATAATAAATGCATAAAACGGGCTGTCTCTTGGGGAGGAAGAGGCGGGGGAGAGAACAGAGCTTGTGATCCTAGCCGATCGCCTTTGGACCCGGAGAATCTTTCAGCCTTCTCTCTCCCTTGACCCTGCGCCGCCTTCCTGGAGCGCGACAGAACTTAGCCAAACTTGGCTTCATTATGCAGCAGCCACGCTGATTAGCGGCGGGTTGATCTTTGCTGAGGAGCGTGGCGGCCGAGGCTGCAGCTCCCCGCTAGGTAGACGGCAGCGGCGGCGCCTGCCTCGTTGCAACCACAAACAACAACAAGGGGTGTGTGTGTGAATATGCATAATATATGCGCTATTTATGGAGAGGGGATGGCCCTTTATGGAGATCTCGGCAGTCCCAAGAATGCCTCTAGCTGGGCTGCTTCGCCATTCCATCCCAGTCTCCTCCTCCTCCTCGCCTCTTTCCAAAAAGAGGCTTCGGTGGAAGTCTGCGCCGAATGAGTCCTGCAATTATGGACTATGAAACTGGCATCTCGATCCTTAAACTGTTAGGGCGCATGGAGCTTAAGCAGACTGACGCAAGGAATAGAGAGGTCTCTGCCCCGAGGGCACGAAGCATTAAATTTACAAATTTTCCAGGTCGCCTTTTTGCGCGCAAGTATCGCAATCCTATGCATGCACACCGGCTCCTGAACACGTCGGAGCTGCGCACTTACATCGACGTGTATTGCAAGGGCAATCCAGTTGCGAAGCCAACGGCCAAGATTCGGCCGCAGCTAGGCGCCGCTGCTAAAACGCCCATTGATTTCAATGGGAAAGTTCAGCGCCTGCAATGGGGACTTATAAGGCATTTAATTTAGGCTGGATCGTGGCCAATGCGCTTAGCTGTCCATGGAAGCAAGACCCTTGATTTTAGTGGAGCTCAGCTCCACACACACCCTCCTTCGGAAGTAGGATAGGATGGCAAGCTTATAAAGAGCACGGTTTCCTCGAATGTAAACCTCACTAATGTGAGAAAATCCAAGGAGACGCTTGGCTGTCTTGTGTTAGGGACCCCCAACACGGCAGAAGCTTTGCAGTAGTTGTGCTTTCAGGAAGCTTAATGAGATTTCGTGTGTGTGTGTGTGTGTGTGTGTGTGTGTGTGAGAGAGAGAGAGAGAGAGAGAGAGAGTCGAAACAAATGCCAAAGTCCTGCTCTTGAACACCCTCAAGTTTAATTAGCAGATAATAAAGAAAATACAAATGTATGGTGATTATGATTATTAAAAACCTGTACTTTTGGTGGTTACTTTCCAAACAGCTCTTAATAACCAGAAACACAGAGACTCCAGAAGATTAACCCCAAGGGATGCAGTTGGCCTGATTCATATCAAGACATGGAACCTTTACCTTAGCTTATTTACTCCCCAGCAAATTCTCCCTAAGTTCGACATAGCTTCCTCCTCTGGTTACTTCGCCCAGGGTTGCAAGGAGGAAATTGACTTCGTGCAAGCAAATCCTTTACAGACTTACTTTGGAGTAAGCCCTAATAAGCTCGTGGGTTGCCATTCTGAGTGCAAATATGTCTAAGATCCTGCTGCACGTTCTACACCGAACTTTTTTTTTAAAACCGTCCAATGTACATTCACTTGCGAGTAAGCCTCACTGAACTCAGTTTTTGAGTAAGCATGCCTTCAGACAAGAGAAATAAAAGGCCATTGAAAGGACCGAGACTCAAACATAAATGAAGACTGCAGTCCTATACTGTATACCTACTGTAAGGCCCATTGGACGCAGTCGGGCTTACTTCTGAGTAAACATATAGGATGGCGCTTGCAAGCTGACCAAGGGAAGTGTTCCTGTAGATCACCCACATCAAGTAAAATTGATGTCTAAGGAACTTACTCCCGAGTAAGGAGTCGATCTTGAAAGGGGCTCAGCCCCCAGCCCCAAATCATCCCCCCTCCAAATTCAGAAATTGAGGGCTTCCGCTGAATTGGGTTGGGCCAATTCCGGACCTGAGAAGGTGCAACCCTAAGCGTGCTTACTCGGAAGTAAACCCTATCCAGCTCGGCTAGCTAGCGTCGTCGCAGTGGGATCCTATGCATGTTTCCTCCCTCACTGGGCATGGCGAGGGTTACTCCCTAGCAAGGCTGCTTGCAGCCACATCCCACGCGCATTGATCCACCAGTTAAGACCCCATTCAGCGCCCTGGGATTTTTGCTCCAGTCGCGATGCTTATTTAGGATTGCAGCTTTGGGGTCCTCCCAGAGCCCTTGCCTACCCGCCCACTAGTACACATCCATCCCTCGCATTTTCTGTGCCAGCCTCCTTGGACTAGCCAGCCGCCGAGAGAGAGAACGAGAGCGCGCGCAGCCCCTTCCAGAAGTAACAGCTTCTCCAAGGGGGGGGGGGACGAGAGAGCAGGTTGAGGCTGCGCAGATGTTGCCTTTGTTTAAAGAGACAGTAATTAAGGGCAGGAGGGACATAAGTTTGAAAAGCGTGACCTATTTTCTTTTGATCAGCTGTCAAAAGAAGAGCGGGGGGTCTCTTAAGACAGTCCCTTCCAACCACTTCCAGCTGTTAGAGAAAACTTGGCTCGGAAAACAATGGTGGGCTGCGGGGGGGGGCGTGGAGAAAGAGAAGCCCCACTTAAAAAAAAAACCAACTTGAGAAAAGCTTGCAAAATAAATCTTTGGACCAGTGACATGGTCTTGTGGGGCTTTTGAGGGGGGGACACGGAGGGGGGGGGGAATAGTAGCGCCCCTCCCCCAAATCTCGAGGACGCTTGAGACCCTCATGCTAAAACAAAAAACAGGACTTCGAACGGGACGTGATTACTCAAAAGTTAATAATAATAATAATAATAATAATAATAATAATAATAATAATAATAATAATGGCCACTGAACTCAATAGGATTTCATTGGTATTATCATTTGAATGGGACTTGCCCCTAAGTAAGGTGAGTATGGGAGAGGGCGGGTTACTCGTACGTAAAGCCCTTAGTATGAATACATATGGCCTGAGCCCAAGCGTGTTTATTCTGAAGTAAACCCTGCGTGGATTGGGACTGCCTCCCACGTAAATTCGCTGGAAATGGAAGCCATAGGCTGCAACTCTATGCACGCTTACTTAGGAGGCGGCTCCACTGAACCCAACGAGGTTAATTCCTGAGTAAACATGCCTAGGATCAAGACTACAAGGACCTGAAATTGATTCAGTATTGGCCTCGGGAGCAGTAAATTCTCAAACCACTCACTTCTGGAGTAGTCCTCTTGAATGTAGGCTAACAACGGTAGTGATAGGAATAATGAAGATGAAGATGATAAGTGGATAATTTGAGGATAGAGAGGTTCAGTCGCTTTCAGAATTGAAGCCCTACGTGGGTGCAAGAGTCCTAGACAGCGGTGGGAAGGAAAGTCCCAGCTTCTCAGGTAAAGCAACAAGGTTAACTCAATAGACGTTGGGGTATCAGTCCTTCCGGATAGCCTTTTTAAAATTTCTGTGGTATTAAATGATCAAATAGGATTAGGCTTGCAAACAAACAAACACATTATATTTTGTGCTAAAATAAATCTCTCTAATATTACCTGTATCTTGATGTGGGTAGTATAAACCCCTTCCATAAAATATAATAATAATAATAATAATAATAATAATAATAATAAGGATTAAACTGAAGGAAGTCACTTTGAGATGCAACCTTTCTGAGTTGGGGTCCGGGGGTCCGGAGTCCAGTTCCTTACCCAATCATCCTGCTGCATTTTTTAATTGTTGGTGGAGCACCGTCTCTCAGCCCAGTCTACCTCACACGGTTATTATGAGGATAAACAGAGGGTGGAAAGGGGACTTCTCCAAGGAGCGAGGAAAGAATAGAAACGTCACCATAAACATTTTTAGATAGGGATGGTGTATTAATTTATGGGCACGCATCTACATTTCTTGCAAAAAAAAAAATCTAGATTTTTTTGTTTTGTTTTGGTATGTCAGAGCAGAATAAAAAGCAATTAGAGTTATTTCAACTCCCTCCCCATTGAAATCTGAATCCTGACAACAACATAAATCCTCTAAAATGGGGGTGGGAGGAACCCTTTTGAAACGTGCTCAGTTTGGGGCTTGAGAGGGAGAATCTCCTGTTTGGTAGAAATAGGAAAATCCATCCACGTGTCAGTTTTAAACTAAGAAGGAGGTGTTTTTACAGCGGACTCCAGAGGAGCCAATCGCAATTCCTGGGTGCGAATCCGCTTTGCTCCTGAAAGAAAGCCTCTCTGACTCGCCTCAGAACAGGGGGATCCACCGCACATCGAAACGATTAGCTGGGATTAGCAGCACTCCGCGCTCCTAAACCCGTTTCCCGGAAAGTTAAGTCCAAGTGATCTCCAGCCGACTTACTCGAAAAGGTGCTTCCATTCACACGTGACGCTGCGCTAAATCGGACGAAGCCCCAGCAGATCGCTCCACCTGTTCTTTTGTGCCACTCAGGCCGCAACCCCAACGCCAATTTACCCGGGAGTAAGCTCCACTGCATTCAATAGGACTTACTTCTAAGTAGGCATGACTTAGACTGCGCTGCCAGCTTCCAATCTCTGTCAAAATCAGGATCCATCCGTTTGTAAGGCTTGAGGGGGAAGAGGACCCCTATTTGGAGCAAAGCGTAAAGATGCGGCACCCAGGAACCCCCAAGGCTGGATTTTTGAAGATCTCTGCGGCCTTTTTCATCTACATTTTCCTGTAGGGAAAAAGGGGAGCAGTGAGTGCCCCTATTCTCTTAACCTGGGGGGTGGGCATGGCGGGTTGAGGTTCTCTAGGGTGGGAGAAGATCAACCTGGAAAAATAAACCTGTTTTCTGGCTGCTGAGCTCCCTGGTCACGTGGGCCAGAGTTTAAAGGTGAGGTGTTGCATGTTCCCACCTCCGGATCAATACTCTGCTTTCTGTATGGAATCAGGCAGACAAGCGGCTCTTTGTGTGCTGAATATGCCTTTGACTCGGCTCTGGATTTCCACGCTGAGCGTCTCGAAGGCGAAATGAAAACAAGTCTCCAACACCCCTTTTGTAGGGAAAGAGGCACACGACACAGGATTATTTCAGATTAGGATCGTTTCCTATCCAGGGCATTAAATGACTGACAAACACACATAAAACGCCTTGCTCGCAGGAGTCCTGGGAACCTCAGCTGGAAGCGTCACCATATACATATGCCTTTATTATCAGCAATAATAATATTCGTTTAAAAAAAGGAAACGTGCTCTTGGATCTGCATAAGTGTTTTGCTTTTTACCGTGCTATTTTAATTTCTCCCCCCCAAAAAGCAGTAAATAAGAGTAACTCAGGAATTACCCCCCCCATTAATATTTGAGAAAAATTGCCCGCACCCCAATGATAGGAGACGTGTGTTTGCAGACAGCTGTTTTTACGCATCCAATAGCAAGCGTGGGGAAGGATATCAAATACTGTTTTGATATCAAATATTCTCAGCGTCTTTCTATAATTGTAAGAGGAATCCTGTATGCTTGTGCCAGAATTTAACCTTTATCCTCTTCAGTCCTTTATATTAAAAGGTGTGTGTGTGTTCTCCAAATATACTTAACCTTTCTCTCTCTCTCTCAAAAAAAAAATATCTATGTCATCATGACACCAGCGTGCAATATTCGAGGAGCAATCGTGGGCAGATTGAAGTCAAATTTGAGCACTCAAGTCCCATTCATTCCAGTGAGGGAGATTTAACCACCAATTCATCATCCCCCCTCCCCATTGAAAACAATGAAATGTTTAAACACACACACACACACACACACACACAAAATTTAATGCTATTCGATAAATGTGTTGACACACATTGTATATGTTTTTATCTGATAGCCATTCAGGCATCTAGCAGTATTTTTGCTCGCGTCCTGAGCGAGGTTTGTGGAAAGATCTCAGGCTGAACCCCACCCCCCGCTTTCTCTCTCACACACACGTGTGCACGTGTGCAGCACGAATGGCTGTGTCCTCGTGTGCAAAACCTTCATTCCTTTTGGGAACAACCTAATTGTACACGGTGTGCTAGATGATTCTCTGTGAAGGTCCATCGGTGCCCTCTGATTTTTTTTAACCCCTTGGTCTCCTCTGAAACAAACTAAATCCTCGGGTACACGTGTTTAAACACGCCGCCCAATAGATACACGCACGCAATAGATATTTTAAGCGAGTTTGCGTTTGCTACAGAGGGGGTGGGGGAGAGGGTGAAATCTCAACATTTAATGGGGGGGCAGGGGCAGTAAAAAAATTTCTAGGAGGTGAAGAAGCAAAGAATAACGTGTCAGTGATTTTTTTTGTCGGTGAAATGTCTTTATATTTATTTTTAAAACCCTTCCACAGGTCTGTGGGATACTAGGGAGGCAGGCGTTGGGTGGACCTGAAGTCTCTCTCTTCTTCTTTTAGTTTGGAAGGTTTTTTCCCCCCTGTCCCCCTCCCCTCCTTCTCTTCCTTTTCTTTCTCCTCTTCCAAAACCATCTGGCACGTGAGTGCGGGGGTATTGATCAAATCCGTGTGTGCTGGTGACCCCATGCTAATCTATAGCGTTGCTGGCCATCAGTTTTGCTTAGGAAGCGCATCTGCCTGCCCTGTACCGCTCCCCAACAGTGTTCTGATCCTTCCTTCAGGTTCCCCTTTGCCCCAACTCCAACCTCCATTCAGGGGTAAGTCATGCGCTCTCTCTCTCTCTCTCTCTCTCTCTCTCTCTCTCTCTCTCTCTCTCTCTCTCTCCTTTTCTTCACATTTTGTTTTGGGGAGGTGGGGGCTGGCGGGGCGACAAAGGACCGAAATGCCGTAGATCAGGCTTTCCTGCGTTTGGCGAGCTTCTCCGATTTGACTTCGTGGAACATGAATAATAATAATAATAATAATAATAATAATAATAATAATAATAATAATAATAATAATAATAATAATACTGGCGAATTAATAGCAGGAAGGAGTTTGCAGGAAGGCCTAGGGAGATGCCGCGCAGATACTGGCGCTGCGTTTAACATCTGGAAGAGGAGGTGGACTCGCTTTCTCTGTGGTTGTATTTAAAGCAGGGACCTCAGGGAAATGTCCGGTCTGTGAACGCGAAGGGGAGAAGGGTTTGGCGGGTTGAAATGAGCTCGCCCCTTTAGAAAGACCCCAAAGAGGCGCTGAGAACTTGGGTGCCAATTCAAAGGGAATGAATTTAAAATCCTATTACTTCCGCCCATCACCCTAGGGGTCAACGTTAGGAGATGATCTAGGCAAGGAAGTGAGGAAGAGCCTCGCTTCTTCTGGCAAGAGGGAGAAGTTTTGCAATGTGTCGGAAGTGGAGTTTGAGAGTTTCATAGCTTTCTTGGTTGGAGAAAGGCGGGGGAGATGGGGGAAGAAAAAGTTGGGTGCGAATTGCAAGATTTATGCGGCTGTAAATTCCAGAGGAAAAAAGGAGAAAGGAAAGGAAGAAAGCGACTGGACAAGGGAGGGATCTTGCTCCTACTGAAGGCGAATGCAGTTGGGGTTGGAGAGAGAGAGGCAGGATTGGTAGCCCGAAGCGCTTTTTTGGGTGGAGCTTTTTTTTTCTTGGTGCAAAATGAGGTGGTCTGCAAATCTGGCCTCAAGGTATGAGCAAGGCAATGGTGGCCTTGAAACTGGTGAGTCTTAAGACTAGCCACCTGTCGGGATTTGGGGTACGGTGCTCTCCTCTCTCCATCTCCCCCCCTCTCTCCACTCCAAAAAGCTTGGGGCTGAGGGGAGGAAGAAATGGATGCGGGGAAGAAGAGGGGGTGCAAAGAACCGAGATGGGCGCAAGAGAAAAGGGAGGACAGAGCCACCTCCCCCAAAAGCTTCGAAGTTCCTTGACTTACAGGCTGGCGAGTCAAGTCAATTGGCCAGGAAAGATCGCACATTTCGCGAGATGAAACTCAACCCAAGAGTCCTGTGACACCTGCAAGGCTAACACATTACTGTGGTGTCAGTCACCACCAGCTTTTCCTGTAAGGGAGCTGAGGCTCCAGTCCAGGAAAATGTCCGGACAGTTGACCAATGTATAATAATAATAATAATGATAATGATGATATAATGATAGCCACAGACTAACATAGCTACCACTGTTGAATGTACCACGTTTTTCACTTCGAGGTTTAAAGGGCTTATTTTTTCGTATGTGCGTGAGGGTCTCCTTTCTCTCCGTCCAACACCCCCTTATTTCCCACCTCCCAGTTTTTAATCAGTAACTTCGAAAGGAGTTCTCTCTCTCCTTGTTTGGCGGGACAATCTTATCTCTGGCAACCCTGTGGCCATCTTTTGTTTTGTTAAAGCTGCCCTCTTTTCAATTCACCCTCTCCACCCTTTTCAACCCCTCCAACCAACCCCACCAACCCGGGGCCCCCCTCCTCCAGGAATCTGTTTCTTGCTGCTGGGAATCGCTAGATGGAAACGTCACCTTCTTTTAAGGTCAGAGAAAGTTAATCCTGTTTCTATTCTAACCCACCGAGGAGGACATCAGGGAGAGTTTCAAATTCGACAGAAAAGAAATAAAGAAGGGAAAAAGAAAGAGGGGAGAGCGCGCAGCCTTCCAAATCCTTGCATCAAGATAGCTCAATTATACTATTTTGGGTTTTGAGCGTGGAAGGAGAAAAGAAAGAAAGAAAAGGCCACAGGTTTCTTTGAAAGCAGAGGAAAGCTCTAGGGCTGGATCCAGACTTAATTGCACATAAAGTAAGTTAGGCATGGCTTACTTAAGTCCCATTAAAACCCACGAGTCTAATTCGAAGTATGACCTTAAGTCTGGCGTCAACCCCGTAGACCTTTGGAAAGGGAAAAATGCGATTTACAGTACTGGTGGCTAATACGATTGCCGCTTGGGCGCAAGAGCACTTGTGTTGGGGGGAGCAGCCTCCCTTTATGAACAGAGGAAAACTTCCCAATTGAAAGCCTCAAAGGGGGAAATGGGAGGGGGTGTATGGTGAAAGAGAGGTGACATTTTGCCCCTGTCCCTCCCATTAAACTGAAGACACCCCAGGAGTTCAGCAGGCTGCCGCTTCCATCGCCCTCTTGATTCGATTCCGGTGCTGTTTGTATTTCCAAGAGGACTCCATCCGGCTGAACGCCAAAGAATTTGGTTTAACGGGGATGCTGACTGACCCCACCGTGTGAGGCTTGTGTACGCGAGGTGTGTGTACCCCTGTGCTGACCTGCATGTATGCATTCATACACCAGACTCCCCAGGAGCACACGCAAGTTGGTGGTAGCAATACAATACAATACAGTACAACACAATGCAATACAATGCGTTTTAGTTATTTAAATTCAAAGGCCACTTTAACCCAGCTATAGAACCTTCCCATTCTTACATCTTACGCAGTACCTTTCTTAAACATACCCAATTATATCTTATGCATGCTTTATTTGTGAGACTGTACAACTAGACTTTATATGTGTAGATTTATACCCCCTTTTATATATTCATATACATACCTCTGTCTACATTTTTTTTCTATATACTTTCTGCATATGGATTATTTAATTATACTTTATTATCTACTTGGCTTATTTTATATTCTTTCTTTCTTTCTTTCTTTCTTTCTTTCTTTCTTTCTTTCTTTCTTTCTTTCTTTCTTTCACATTTTAGTAAAAAAAATTAAATAAAAAAATCCAATGAGACTGAAAGCTTTTAACGTCCTTTAAGGAGAGATCCCGAATTTTCCTTTCAAACCAGCAGTCCTCTCGTGATTCCAACTCAGGGACACCCTTCCCTCAAATAAGAAAGTATGTATAAAATTGAGTCTTCTCCTCTCATCCCCCCTAACAAGCGACTCGCCCTCGGTTTAACACGGGAGGAGGAGGCGGGGGGGGTCCCCGAGCAAAGCGGGGGGGAGGTCTCTTTGTTCCGCTCAAGTTGGGCGTGAAATCTTTTTGTTGCGCTTTCAAAAGGAAGGCAAAAGTTGCTGTTGATTGTCAAAGGGACAAATTTAACTCTCCGAAAGCGGAAGCTGGCTTCGGAGGAGAAACTCGGGCCGCGATTTTTTAATTTATCGCCACTTTGGGGTGGACTCGCTCGCTGGTCGAGGACATTTCACTTTTACTTGTGAGAAATCCAAAAGAGAAATGCAGCCGACGTCTCTCTTTCTGAAGTTTAAGCGAAGGAGAGGGAGAGGAGGAGGAGGACATACGAATTTTAAACCTGAAAAGTTTGAGCTATAAATAATTTTCTTTCTTTCTTTTTTACTTTAGGGGAAAGTTTCCCACTTGTTGGAAACGATAAATCTACAGGCAGCGACTGTTCTGAGCTATAGGAAAGCCTGCTTCGATCTGAGGTCTTTGGAAACTTTAAGAATAGCATGAAAAATTTACTAGGTTTCAGCTCTTTTCGGTGGAAGGTGCCCGAAAAACTATATTTTTGGAAATATCTTTCTAAGCCAGTATGGGAACAAAGGAAATTTGTATATATATATTTTTTAACTCTCAGGTGTTTGCTTGAAGAGTTTTCCTGACATCCAACAAATTTCTTCACGGCTTCGCGCTCCGCGCAAACACCTGCCCAAGATCCCGAAAGCACTTCCCTCAACTCCTCGGTAGTAACTTTTGTTGAAAGCAGTAAACTTCCAATTAATCGAGCAAATCAAAGCCTTGTAAACCGGCTCGTGAGCTTTCCTTGCAGCTCGATCCGGAAAGCACTCGAGCGGAATTCAGTTCAAATCGGCTCAGAGATCCATCTAAATCCAACGCACAATGAAAACCTACTCGGCAATTCCGGCTGGATTTGGACCTCAGCGTGGTCGGCGATATGGAAAAGAGAGGAAAACTTCTTATTTTTGACGTGGTGACTTAGCAGAGTCAAATTCTTCGTTTTCCATTAGCTGACTTAAATATATATATATAACTGTGTAAGATCCTACAGCTCAGAGTAGGAGAAATCCACGCTATACTCATACTGAAAGAGGTTTGTAAAAGATCGGTTTGTAGTGGACTTCATGAGGTATATATTAAATCTGCCAGCCTGCGTTGAGGAGGGTGTAATATGAATAATAAGAAATATAATTCATGCATGCTTTATGTTTACACATAGATTAAAATGTGTATATCTATCTCTCATTTCTTTGACATTTATTAATTACACAAAAGACTAGCCATATAAATATATTTATGGCTGTCCCAACTTTTCCTGGAAATTTCTGGTTTTAAGAGAGTTCTAGTTGTCTACTAAGAGTGTCAGAAATGTTAGAAAAGAAGTGTCATGGAGATGGGAAGCTGAAAGGAAAAAAGGAGGGGAGGTGTCAAAAAAGAAACAACCCATCCAGAATTGTGATTTTTGTGGCGCCCTTCCATCCGTTCGGAAGATGCTATTTTTGTAGGCAAATGTATAGTTTAAAACTCTTCAGGAATACCCGGAATCGGCCAGGAGGAGGGAGAGCTCCCATGCCAAATAAGGGACCCCCTCCTAACAGTACACAATTGGCATTTTCCAAGGAAAGGTTTTCATCTCGGCTGCAAGCAATGGGCGAAGGAGACCCGAGGGCAAATTTGGGACCCCAGTTCCCACCTCTTTCTCTCTTCCCGCGGAGCCCCCGCCCCCTGAAGCAGCCACGGAAAAGGAGACCCTCCCTGCGGAAGATTCTTCATCCTTGGGATTCTCTGCCAAGGAGTGTGGTGGAGTCTCCTTCTTTGGAGGTCTTTAAGCAGAGGCTCGACAACCATATGTCAGGAGTGATCTGATGGTGTTTCCTGCTTGGCAGGGGGTTGGACTCGATGGCCCTTGTGGTCTATTCCAACTCTATGATTCTATGATTCTATGATTCTGACAAGCGGCTTCGGGAGAAACTGAGAAAGGAGGAGGAACCGCAGTCCAGGAAAGCGAATGCCACAATAAATCTGTTTATTTAAGGTTCTTGGCTGTTTTAGCTTTTCAACTGGAGGAGGAAGAATCTAGCAGGCAGTTTAGGTCAGTGCAATAAACACACTCTGGAAAACACGATCCTTTCATATACTGCTCCCATAATTTAAGATGTAGTGCTCCTCTGCATACTTTCCCTGGACTAAGCCAAGCTGAACTCAGTAGAATTTACTTCTGAGCAAACAGCATTAGGCCTACTTTCTGCACTCAGATAGGGGTTCAGAGTCCCGTTGCACTGAGCCTTGCCTGCTTCGGAGTCTAAACAGGTGGGAGTGTTGCAGTGCTGAAATCCTTTTGCTGCTGGAGTCATCAGCAAAACTCCCCCTTGGTTTCAATGGAGCAGAATGACTGCCTAAATGTTTCTACATAGTTTGAACTTTTATCTTTGTCTTTTTTCTGCCCCGGTAGATAATATAACCAAACACTTCAGTTGGATAGGTACATATAAATGTTGAGTTACAGAGAGATAACATAAAACTTTCTGGACTGCAGGTTTATATTTGGTCTTCTCAAGGCTGCAGATAGCAATGGCTTTGCGGCAACTTGCTCTCCGTGGAACCACACTGTTCACAATACGTTCCAAAGAGAAGTGGAGTTGTCCACTGGAATGAAATATCCCAACCAAACTAAGATCCAGTTGTGGACTAGACGCAGCTGTTGTTGTTGAGATACAGCATGGCCCTCAATTAAAATCTATGTTACTCCCAAACAATCAGTTTATCTAGAGCACAATGGCCAGGAAGTTCTTGGGTTAAATTTTGCCCATGCCAACTTTACAATTTTTTTATTTTATTTATTTCCCATGTCAGGAATTTAAAGAGGAGGGCTCTGGACAAATCACTGTCCCTCAGTCCTCACTTGCAATACAGGCAACGCTCAACTTACGCTGGGTTAGTGCGTAAAGCCATTAACACACAGTGTCAAAAAGCATTGGGGTCTATGGTGGGTGGGTTTGCTGAAGTCATTTTCCCCTGATGCCCACCCCTCTTCTGACCCCTTTTTAATTTTTGATTGCCAAGGATGTAAAGCTGAATGCACGCAAGTTAAATGTGGGTAAGTCGCGAGTTACCTGTACGTAGGCAACAATACTGGCCCACTTTATGGGACTGTCATAAGTTTAGCCAAGATAATATATGTGAAATGATTGCAACACTCAATGCTTGCTATGTAAATGTGGAATGCTGTTGCCATCTATCTAGTGCTGGCTTGTGTGAATCCAGATTTTTCTCTATTGGTTTATTGAACTGATCGCAGCAGTCTGGTCAGATTACTTCCCTCCCATTCTGTCCATTCACCCAGTTGAAGTCCTGGAACAAGGTGTCCTGCAAGGGTTATTTCCTGATCGATTCCACAAGATTTCCAGGAGCTGGTTGAGGAGAAAGCTATAACCATTTCATATCTTACAGTAGAAGAAATCACCCAAAACCTATGTGTCTGCACATGGGCATTTTCTGTGGCATGCCAGTGTGAGATATTTGAAAAAGGCTGTGCCCATACATGCTATCTCCTGCTCCCTGCCCAGCCCCTGTTCCTTCAAACCAAAGCAGGGGTCCTCAAGTGGTTTGTGTGTGTATTCCTTGAGAATTGCTGTGGGTCCTGGTTTAGCATTTAATAAACTTGTTTTTCCATCATCATCATCAAAACCAGTTGGAAGCAGGAACAAAAACCAGCAGGTAGACAAAACATGCTAATTTAGCACGTTTCAGACCCCGCTGGTTCTTTGACAGGGAAATCCAAAATCTGTTTTAAGAATCTATATTAAACTTCAGAGCTGAATAGTGTCCTATGATATAAGTCTATAGATACGATGTAAAGTATATAAAACCATAATTAACTTTAAAAGGAGCACATGAGCAACTAACACCCTACATTGATCTTTTTCAGAAAGCGAAATACACAGTGATCAAGAAAAAGTATTCTAATACTTATTATACTAGATTGAAAATGAATGTAAGACTGATTACTTGCTTGGTGAAATAATGATTCAACATTTAAATGTGTTGTATTGTTATGTTATGCTAAACCAAGCAACTAGGGCCAAATATACCACCCCAACTACTCCGAATTCCAAAAAGCTGTATCTCAAAGTTATGGTAATCACCCCAGAGTCTTATTAAAGCCTATAAGAGCCACGATGTCAACCTCAGAATCCACCTGGCTTCCTTCTCCAAAAGTATCATGTCTGTTAGTTTTTGTATTTTGTTCCTATAATTCCAAAAGAGAAATCCCATACTTTTTTTGGTGCATTTCATCAAAACCAGTGACATATTATGAAAACCATGGTTCCTAGGCCAGAGTTTTGCTAGCCCGTTAGCAGGCTGTCCCTCGTTAAAACTGCCACAATCAGAAAACCAACCAAACACAAGACCAAATACAGATATTCTTCACTGTTCAAAAATCTTCCCAGCAGAATTGGACTTGTGCTGCACAGATGACAGTTTGAGAATTGCCAGTTTTCCTGCAGCCCATGGTACTTGCGACTTCAACAGGCAAGTATTAACAAGGGAACGTGTCTATTTCTTTCTGCTGGGAAAAAAAAATATTCACCTGCTTATTTCTGCAGTTAAGGGCTCAGCATGCTGCCCCCCCCCTGACTTCCTGGTTACTTGGTAACACTACTTGAGGCTGACCTTTTATATGAGATTGCCCCACTGTCATGGGATACAAATGGCTTCTGCCTTAAGGAGGCTGGCATTAGGAAGTCCTCGATACAGCCTGCTGCACTCTCAATGCAGCATCTCAGAGGTGATGATCTAATGAGCTGCCTTTATCCATAGACAGCCTGATTTCACCCCACCCTTTGCCTCCCAGGGCACAGGCAAGCAAAGGTCAGCACCTTCAGGCCTGGCCAAGCGAGGTCCTTTCTATTAGCATAGGCCTTTCCGTTTCGAAGACCAGTGGGTCGAAATAAAGGAAGCGGTGTGATCTAATTCAGGGAGAGCTAAGGCAGGGATTCTCCCGGACACATGCACATTCACACACGCATTGCGATCAATGGTAAAACAGCAAAGGACACTAATAGTGGTGTGCATTCTATCGAAGGAACAGAGAACGCACACAAATTGACAGCACAAACGGAGAATTTTGCACACTTCCTGGTCGCGAAGCTGCCTTGGCCATTGGCTTTCAGTGCTTGTTTGATTGCATTCTATAATTGTGCTAAACCAATATATTATTTGTGATTTGCTCAGAGGACTCTGTTGCACAGTGGCTCATAAATATAATACCTAAGGATAAAATGCAGAGTTTCCATGTGATGCTGAAGAATGTGCACAAGTTAGCAACAAAAATTGGCGCATGTCTATATGGTCTGGTCACTATACTTCTGCTAGTGCAGCCCAGAATAGCGTTAGCTTTCTTTTGCTGTTGCATCACACCGTTGACTCATGTTAAGCTTTTCCCGTGTACTACTAATAAGCCAGGTGTCCTCCGTCTTATATTTATGAAGTAATAAATAGGGCTGTGCAAAGGAATTTAGGAACGGCGTGGGGTAAACAGAAAAATAAGTAATTGTAATCTTGTTTTCCCTTTGGCAAAGGTGCTTGAATAACTCAGAGAAGCTATGAACTATGCCGAGCAGGGCACCCAAGATGGACAGGTCATAGTGGAGAGTTTTGACCAACTGTGGGAGGCAGTGGAAGACAGGAGTGCCTGGTGTGCTCTGGTCCATGGGGTCATGAAGAGTCGGCCACGACTAAACGACTAAACAACAACAACAGCAATCTTGTTTAGTTTGTCTTCCATGACTAGAAAAAGCTTCCTGAAGTTTTTCTGATCCGCAGGTGCATAAATAAAACAGAATAACAACTGATAGCTTTTATTTCATTTTTTTTAATATATATTTTTATTATTTTTTACATATCATTCCCAACAATCATATAACATACTTTCTTATCTTATACAGTGTTTTGGACTTCCATCAACTACTTCTGAAGATTTTTTCAGTCATTATCACTTAATCTACATTTCATAATTTCCTTATTACTTTTAATTATCCTTAACTAACAATTCTCTTCATAATCTTCTTTGCAATATTTCGCATAGTCCTCCTTACAAAACTTCTTGCAATCCTACTAGTGTAATCTGTTTATTACAATTGCTTTTCAAATAGTTCAAATGGTTAGTACTGCACAGTACTTTGGTTGCCATCAATTTGATTTTAATTAATTTTTATAATGAAATATTTTAGAATGTGTGATTATTCAACTATTGGTTATTTGATTGTTGTTAGCCGCCCTGAGCCCAGCTTCGGCTGGGGAGGGCGGGATATAAATAAAATTTATTATTATTATTATTAAATTTATTAGGCACCTCCAAGATCGGAGACGCATGTAGGTCTTGCGACTGTGGTTCTAGTCATCCTTGTTGGCATCTGTCTGTCTCGAGAGATAATGGAAGAGTGTGCCATCAGGAGTAAAGTTGTAGCGTAGGAGAATTACAGTGCCTGCTGTGGCCGTGGGGACTTATATGGGGGAGATATGTTTTAGTTATTGCAAATGGGGCAGATGAAGGCATCCGGTTTCGCTGTTAGAGATGCACCATGATGTTTCTTCTCTCTGCGCTCCTCCCAGTGGTCATTTCTCCTCTGGACATTGATGTGGATACACGACTTGACTGTCTGTCTCCAGATGTGGTTTCCCCTAAAGAACTGTGGGTAGTTTGGGGTGTAGGGATTTGCTAGCCTGCTTGCTATTCTTGTGGGAAAGCGAATCACGATAAAACCAGGCAAAGTGCAGATAAAACTGTATAATCAGCATATTCACAGAGCTTTTCTTTAGTACAGTCAAGTCAATATGTAGGCAGGCCAGTTCCACATAGGAACGCTTCTGTCTTTGGGTAGAAAAACTGGGTTATGGAAGAATGCTTCAGAGCTGGAAGCTCTTGGGTTGGCCTTCCATCCACACCTTCCTCATAGTCTCCTTTTTATCCTCCTGTGAGGATAAAAACCACCTGTCTTTGACACTTACCTCTCTTCTTTTTGGAAGTGGATCTGTTCCAGGCAACATGAGTTATCTACCCAGCTTATGAGGAAGCACCTGCAGAAGATGGGGTGAAAATGTGTGAAGCCGCTTGCTTACAGATTCATTGATTTTGGACTGGCCTCTTGGAAATTGGATTGTGGAATATTTGAGGGTTAATAATAATAATAATAATAATTTTTAATTTATACCCCGCCCTTCCCAGTTCAGAAAACAGGGCTCAGGGCTGCTAACAACAAATTTCAAACACTTAATGGTAGAAGCAGCATAAAATACAGTATTAAAAAACGAATAACAATAAAATTCAAAGTTCAGAAATCAATTTGGGGCGAAATCCATCTAATAAGCATTAGATAGTCACCAGGGCTAGTTGGCTGAATTAGTCCTACTTGGGCCAGCGAGGAGGCCAGGGGAGAATTAGCTGTGGGGTCTCAGAGCGGGTAATCTTCATAAAAGGGGAGGAGAAGGGAAATAAAGGATCAGGCTGAATTCAAATTAAAGGCCAGGCGGAATAGCTCTGTCATACAGTTTATATATATATATAATCTGCTTACACAATTTTGGAATGCTGGAGTAGAACTATTTAAATAAAAGTGCTTGCTATGTGGTGCAGATATGTTCAGGATATACCATAACTGATTGTGCTTTTGTGATATGAGATAGTATGGCATGGGAGAGCGCCCAGTAGCCAGCAGGACCTAACCCAGAGGCACTGATCTTTTTTTGGGCCTGCACACTACCCTGGTTGCCTGCTAGAAGATGGCTGCTGCGGCGGGGGAGTCTGTGTTATAGCACAAAATGGCTGCTGTAAGGGTGTGACATAATCAGGGTGTCGTCCCCCCCCCCCCAGCCCTCTCAGGTGGGCGCCATAGTTGTTCTAAGACAACAAGGAAGAAGTTCGTGGTGAGTTCCAGCACCTCTTTTCGAGAAAAATAGCACTGGACAGAATTGTTTCTATACTTGTAATCCCCTCCCCCCACACTTGTTTTATGGTTGCAACCAGTGCTTTTTTCAGGGGGTACTAAAATGTTAAAAATTTGGCACTTCCTGCAACAATTTCATGGTGAGTCCTGGCACCTTTCCCCCCCCTAAAAAAACCTGCTCTATTTGTTTTATAATTTTAGATTTTATTATTGTAATCTGTCCTAGGAACTTGTGGCGAAGAGTGGGTAAGTTTTTAATGTCTGATGTTTTATCATGTTTTTAATATTCTGTTGGGAGCCACCCAGAGTGGCTGGGGTATAAATAAATTATTATTATTATTATTTGAAAGACAAGAGCACAAAACAGGACAAGCAGACTCATATAACAGGGCCACCTCTCTGCCAAATTAGGGGGAAAGGCATCCAAGCTAGGCAACACCAAACTCACTCAGAGAGAGATACCCTTTGCATCCATCCTCTGTCTAGAACAGAAGGGAGCGTGTCCAGACCTGGCATCCAGTGAAATGTGGGCATATTTAAGTGAATGTTTTAAAGCAGGACAGGCTAAGCTGGAGCAAACAGGAGCTAAGTAGGAAGCTCAGTCACCTGTCCACTGTGGATTTTTGAGGGGATATTTACTGAGACCTTTTACGGGTGCCACACAAGGTTCTGGTGGACACACTGGTGCCAACTTAACATAGAGCTCCTAGTGGTCTCCTGTCTTGGCATAGTGGTGTAGTGGTTAAGAGCGGTGGACTCGTAATCTGGTGAACTGGGTTTGATTCCCCGCTCCTCCACATGCAGCGGCTAGTCACACTTCTCTTAAGTCTCTCAGCCCCACTCACCTCACAGAGTGTTTGTTGTGGAGGAGGCAGGGAAAGGAGATTGTCAGCCGCTTTGAGACTCCTTAGGGTACTGATAAAGCGGGATATCAAATCCAAAACTCTTCTCTTCTCTCTCTCTCTCTGTTTTTTTTTAATTTCCTGATGGGTTCTCGGTTGATATCTGTATCATACATTGAACTATTATGGTGGTACTTAATGGAAATTTGAAACCATGGTCACAAAGTAATAAAAATGGAGATTACTTACTTATTTAAATAAATAAATAAATAAGAAAGAAGGGAACATTCAATTTTTGGGCAACTTTTACATAAATATGCAAGTTCTCATGATTAGGTTGTTGCATTTATACACTGTTGAGCTAGAGTATTCTGCTTTGCTATGTTGATGTTGGGAAAGATGGAGGGCACAAGGAGAAGGGGACGACAGAGGATGAGATGGTTGGACCGTGTTCTCGAAGCTACCAGCATGAGTTTGACCAAACTGCGGGAGGCAGTGGAAGACAGAAGTGCTTGGCGTGCTCTGGTCCATGGGGTCACGAAGAGTCGGTAAAGACTAAACGACTAAACAAAACAACAACAATGTTGATGTGAACATCTGCAGAGCATCCAGAACAACTAACAGATCCTACAAAGTCAGGCGAGGACAAAGAGATAGAGAAGGCCTGGGGGTTTCCAGTGCACAATAAAACATTTTATTTAAAAACAATGCATTCAATATCATGTTTTGGCACATGAGTCAATGTGGCAGGCACATCCACACCCGACAATAACGTTGTTGAAATATTCAAAAGGAATCGTTGCAAATCTCCCGCACCCCACCCCCAATAATTTTCAATCACAATAACTATGCAGAATTCATCTACAAGGAAACAATAAAGAAAAGAAAATACACACACCAAGGTGTACAATCCAACCAAACTGATTCCAACCTTTCAGCCTCTTTGATTTCAGAGGTTTCTGATGCTCCCACTGAAACCGGTAAGGTTGAAACATCTTAATTTTGGCTGGATGAACTAGCTGGCAATGAACAAGTCAGACAAAATATTTACATGTACATTACATTGTACAGATCACATTCCAATCTCAGAGGTGTGGCCCTGTTTCATATATCTTTAATACTTATTATCCTGGAGCTGAACCGAGTTCTACACAAGCTATTGGGAACAACTCCTCCATCAAAAATGAATTAAGTTGTGTATCAGGGCAACGCTTCATTCATTTAATGGCGCTTGCTTGTTGACTGGTTCCCCCACCAGTGAAATCTCCACTGACTTCACTAGGACAACCTCCAGGTTTTTTCCTCCCCCATGCCAAACGTTTTGAAACATTGTGCAGCTTTCCACACCATTTCACCTGAGATTAAATCCTGACTCTAGTGTACATTTGCTACCTGAAAAATAAAGACTTTCTAATATGGCTATTTAAGAACAAATGGTTGGTTTTGATGACCATGGCAGAATTTCTGAAAAATGCGATTTCTGTGTAAAGATGATGCCACTCAGCAAGGAACAGCAAGCTCCTTAGAGTAGTTCACACTTATTTACAGGATCCTGTCCTCCGCTTGCAACCTCCATTCAAATTTCCTATTCTTGGCTTTTTGGGGATTTTGGATGCTTAAAGGAAAGAAATGGGAGCAGAAGACCTGTTGGTATCTGATTGGGCCTGCACTCAACATACTCACCATATTATGGTCTCTCAGGAGCCCACTCCCCCTGGCTGTGTAGCTCCAGGCAAGTTTCCCCCCTCCATCTTCCTTGGACCGCCTATGCTTAGACCATGCTTGGACAACTGTCTGCCTTTGGCTCCCTCTATCAAAAGTTGTGCAGGCCCATTGTAAATGGATGGATGTTAAGAAGTACACACCTGCGCGTAAGTCCACGAAAATAGGGAATCAGAAATCTTTGTTGATCTACTGCCAGTCACTCAGAGATCTACTAGCAGATCTCAATCTCCCTTCTGCATGCCTGTTCTATATTTTATATAGACCAATTGACAATGGACGATCATGTAAGCCAGAGTACATAGATCTGGAAATATTGTGTGTCTCAATCACCAGCCCAGTCATCAGATCCTCACAGGTAGTTTTGATTATTTTGACCAAGGCCTATCTACCGATGCCTAATCAAATCAAGAGCTTAACAACACATGTTGTAAACAGCAGTGTGTACCAGCATGGGGTACAGTCCCCATGCACTGGGGACTGCCATTCGGAGTGTTTGCACATGCATATCTCTTTGATGCCATTGCGGGTCTTCTACAGGTGAGAATGAAGGCATGTTACAGACGTGGACAATGGAATACGCATGCATCTTGAACACATACGTTTGGATGTGAGCTTCCTTCCACCACAGGCAGTGCAAGTTTCTCATTTAATTTCAGTGAATGCAAGGTAGGTCTTCATGCACGATGCTGTGAAGAACAGCAAAGATGTCAAGCACCCCAGTCTAAATGTCTACTGTCTGCCAAGATGCACACATGGACCTCTTGTGCACATGGAATGTGCCCCGCCATTAATTTCAATGAAGGGAGCCAAGCTACATGGCTCAGCTGGTTCCTTCCACTAAAATGAATTGCGTAACCTTCCAGGTGGGAAAGCTATGTGCACATACCAGTACACTCATGCCCAGAACAGATCACTTGGTACAGTGGTGAAAAGAGATCCTAGAATAATTGGATTAAAGTTTGTTTGTTTTGATAGACATCTTATTTAAGTCCTGCCCTATATTTACATTTCTGCTGCGTCTATCTATCTCTTGAATCTCTTAGTCAAGGACCCACACTACTCTAGAAGCCATGCTACTCAAGGAGTTGTGTCACCCTAGAATTCACAACTCATTTAAAAATCTATGTTGCATGAGTGTTACATACCATTCCAGGACTGATGGTACTCAAGCATTTATACGATTGTTGAACAGCCTCTCTTGGGCTTGGCAATGGGGTTGCTTTGGACAAACACAGTGGAAGTCCTTTCAACTGATTCCAGCAGAAAAATAAAAGCTATTTACAGTTTTGGCCAACAACTGTAGGATCACACCAGTTTTCAAAAGCAGGATTAAAGCAGCATATAGGAAATACATAGTCGTGAATCATACACTTTGCTTTAAGGAGAGACTTCTGCCCTGAAACCAAGAGTATTGATACGTCAAAAAAAAGTAATTTGCTTTGGATGATATTGAGCTGTTGATTTTGAAGTTGGACTCCCTGATGGAATCTATGGCTCTGAAATATTCAATGAGGTTATGAAATATCAATGGCGAATTCCGCATGAAAATCAATGACTATGATATGACCCTTTCGTTGTCAATACCTTTCTGAATTCCAATTACTAATGTCTGAATAATTTGTTTTCTTTCTTGGATCTCTTTCTCTCCTCTCTTTTAACAGAGCCATAAGCATTAACCTGCACAATGTTTTCTTGGGTGGATTTCTACTGCGGTCAATGGATTGCTCCTGTTAAAGAGGTTCAAAGGCTGCAGGCCATTACACCCAGCAATTCATCTTAGCTGGATTGATGACCAACTTTGTGACTTGGTAACAACAGTAGCTATACAATAAGGAGCACATAAGTGGTCAGTGCAATTTCTTACCGTCGTCAACTAGAAATTGAGAAAAGAGAGAGAGAGAGATACTCACAAAGCACATTAGTCTGTGGATAACACAAGCCCTATTACTATGTCCCTATTAATGCAACAACATATCAATAATTAGAGATCAGTGCTGTTCAAACGTTCATTGAATGCCTTCCCTGAATTGTCGTCAAGGATGACAATTATAATTCAAATAGAATAACTAGGCTTAATTTAGGACTTAGTTTGGAAGTCCCCAAATGCCTGGACCACTATAGGTTATCTTACATTAACATGTATTAAAAAACCACAACAAAACAAAACAAAAACCTTAGCAATCTAGGGTAACTAACACAATGAGATAGGCTCTGTTTAGGAGCTTACTATCCTCAGGGTCCCATCTACAAAAATGGCAAGTCAGGAGGCTTCCATTTCATCTCCCACATTTAATAACTCCTATCTTCTCTCCCCAAGTACACATATATCTAATATAGGATCAGGCTACTACTTTTTGTCGCACTGCTCTTCCACTATCAGCCTCCAATACAGCACACAATGGCAAACGGTTATTGATGTCAATGATATCACTGGTAAACATGTTAAGTGCAGGGTCTTCTTCAGTGGAATATCATGGTGGAATAATGGAAGTGCAAATCAGTTCCTATACATTTTTTGTGGAGGGGAAGAGAAGAAGCATGTGTTTAAGGACAGGAGATGGCCATCTGAATCAGCTCAGCTAACACCAATGAAGCTTTTGAACCATACATTAATAATATCAAAGCTTGAGGTTAAAACAAACAATCAAGATTATATTGAAATATAGGCTGAATAGCTTTGATCCCCAAGGTGCTCCAGTGATAGACCATTAATGTCAATGGGCTGTTATTTCAGTAGAGGACCTTAAAGATCAGATCCTTTGAAGTCTTTAGCAAAGCTCATGGCACACTCAGCGAAGCTGAAATCACTATTTATTTATTTCCTTTTGAAAAAGGAAGTTCTGCAGGATTATGGTATACGTTGCAAGTTTAATTGTTTCTGAGACTTAAATTTTGGAAAGTGGAAGGATTTGAAAGATGGTCCATCCCATTCCCCCCCCCCAAAAAAACCCATGCTTGATTAATCATACATATTTTAGTTGACTACTCTGATCAATCTATTGCTTTAAATCTGCAAAAATCTTAAAATGGGCAAAATAATTTTGAAGCAAAACCATCGTTTTTGCTGCTGTTGTAATGGTTGTCTCTTTTAAAAGAGGAATTATCTCCTGCATGAGAACAAAGGAGGGGGTGCGTGTGCCTGTTTTATGACGGTACTTTTAATGAATGCTTGTATTAAAGTTTGTTTTATAAACAAACAAAAAACACACCCTTGCTGCTTGACTAAACTGGGACAGTTTTTTAAAAGGTAATTTAAAACTGTTTAATAAATGAGTCTAGCTAAGGAATTTTCAACACTGCAACATCCGGGGAGTAATGTCTTCGCAAAGAGGCAGTCAAACAGTGTTGAAACTTCTTCAGGTGCCAGTTTTGACATAACTACCAACTGTAAACAACAGAAAGTTAAGTAACTGCTTCGACCCTAAGGGACAATGCCAAAAATGTATAGTTAGGGAAGACCCTCAAACTCCCAACAACACACACACACACACACACACACACACTCACACCATGATGTAGCTTGGGGTTTAAACTCCCGGAAAGCAGTGGCTTATAGCAACAGTGACGTTTAGAAGTGAAGTAGATTTCTAGCGGGAAATCCAAAAAAACCCATTCCCAGCCCTGGTGTGAAAACAATGGCATTCCTCCATTAGTCATGTCAGAACAAATACTTGGACGAGGAGAGATGGAGACCTCAGTCTGGAGCTCTCATGAATCCTCTCAATTTACAGCAGGGATGGGGACCCTCTGGGGCATGAGGTGAGGTGTTGCCACTGCGCTGTACCCCCTGTGAAGACCAGGATGGGACATGGCAGGGCACCATGTTGACAGCAACAGAGCTTTCTCATCCCTGATCCAAGAACTTCAAACTCATCAGAAACTATGGCAAAAACCGAATGACTCAAAATTGTCTGTTGCTTTTCTAACTAGTCTCAACACGGCCTAGCATTTTAGCATTGCGCTCGTGATCTATTCAAAACTGTAGAGCAGTTACGGACAATATCTTCAGCCTCAGGGGCCAGACTGTCCCAGACTGAGTTCTTTGATGAACGAACTCCTATGGAGTCATGCCTGTGCCCTTTGGCTGGGGAGAGGCTGCAACCTCCTTGGTTGGTTGGTTCGGTAGCCCCCTTGGTTGAATAAATTGGCCTAGGACAGGTTGTGGCAATTCTTGCTTTCACAGATGCCCTTTGAGATATGACTGGGAGCTACAGAAGTTTCTGTATTGCCACAGAGACTTCTGGTGGCATACTCTTTCTTTACAAAGGGCATTTGCTAAGTCTCTCTCACTTGAGAAGCACACTGTGAAGGGAGAAGTGTTTCGTTTAACACTGGGAGTGGCACAGGTCAAGTCAGAGACTGCCTGGCCCTCTCCAGAGCTGCTCTACTTAGCCATAGTGGTTGGGACAAGCTTGAGTGGGAGGGAAATAGGAGTCCACAAAAGACTGTGACAAGGGTCAAATGCATCCCTTGGGTATCCAAAGGCCCATCTCTGCATGCCTGCAAGGAAAGTATATTTCACTCCCCATTGGGCTTGTTATGCTAACGAAAGATCTTTGGAATAATGCAATGGCCACTTACAGTGATATATTCCCATTGACCTTAAAGGAGTTAATACTGGTGCAAATGGTCATTCGGTCAGAACATTCAGGAGCGGTCCTCAAACTGTTCTTCAGCTACTAAGAGGAGTTGTGCAAGTTAGCCAAGAAAACAAGCCAAGAATCTTAATAAGCAAACACAGGTGTTTTAACATTCAACGTTTTGAGACATTTTGCGGAATGTGAAAAATACGTGACTATGAAAATACTTTAAAGAGAGCCATCTTGGCAGCATAACCAGAAATGCAAAACTTTCTGCTGTAAACAGCTTTGACTTTCCTACTGCACAAATAGAATAAATCCTTCTGCATTGCTAAATATGCTAAAGACACCCTCCAATGCTTGAAAAGATGGCAATCAAAGGGTGCTTTCAGAGCATCTCTGAATCAAAGGAAATCCCTGCCCATAAATTCTTTTTTTCTCTCCACTTAGAATTCTGTTTTGGAAAAAACGGTGAATTCATTTTGGGCACTTTTTTTTTTTACTTAAAAAACAACGACAATCATTTGGCACTTCAAGTGTTAAATCCTTAGGCACACTGGGACAAAGTCAGCTTTGCTAGACCTTCGCCGTGAATTCGAAAGAGTTGCTGGAATTCGGCAGGGAGCTGGTGGGACTCTTGCCACTTGGTCGTAAACTTTGTTCCTTTTTTATCATAGTAATGGTACGGAAGGTCTTCCCGGTTGTTCGGATTAAATCCAAAAGGCCAGAACCCGTATAGGTGGATTTCGTCACAAATTGCAGATGCCAGCGTGTACATGAGAATACCTGTACTGAGCCGTTTGGGTGCCAAGTGCTTGTTTTTCCAATACCTGCGAAATAAAAAGGAAACATGACATGGGAAACGGATTATATACAGTGGTGCCCCGCAAGACGAATGCCTCGCAAGATGGAAAACCCACTAGACGAAAGGGTTTTCCGTTTTGGAGGTGCTTCGCAAGACGAATTTCCCTATGGGCTTGCTTTGCAAGACGAAAATGTCTTGCGAGTCTTGCCATTTTCCCCCCGCTTCCCCCCCTTTTTTCTAAGCCGCTAAGCCGCTAATAGCCTTTTAGCAGCTCAGCCGCTAAGCCTTTAATAGCCGCTAAGCCGCTAAACCGCTAATAGCGCTAATGGGGTTGCTTCGCAAGACGAAAAAACCGCTAGACGAAGAGAATCGCGGAACGGATTCTTTTCGTCTTGCGAGGCACCACTGTATATATATTGAATGGAAATGTTCTGCATAATAATGTCATTTTGAAATCCCGTTTAGGGCAACACCTTTACTAGGCCAACCACGACATCGAAAAACAATGTGCTAGCTTTTGTGCAGGCACAGGCAAACTCGGCCCTCCAGATGTTTTGGGACTACAACTCCCATCACTCCGACCACTGGCCCTGTTAGCTAGCAATGATGGGAGTTGTAGTCCCAAAACATCTGGAGGGCCGAGTTTGCCTATGCCTGCTTTTGTGAGTGCTCTAGTGATGAATCTCATCTCTGAAAAGACGAAAAGACTAGCTGTTCTTGACTGTTCTCATCTTTTCAGAGACGAGGAGTCAGCTGCTGCTGTACTTCTTGTTCCTAACAGGCACTTGGTGCAACGTGATATCTATGGCACAAGAAAAACAGGGGAAAGAGCAGCTTAAATGAACAAAATCCCCTCCCCTCCAAAGGGGAGAGACTCAGCTGATACCTGGGGCAAAGGAAATCTTTATTATAGCTCCATGTGTCTCAGAGCACAAGGACTGCTCAAACTCTGCCCATACATTTGCATCTGAACTGCACAAAACGTAAGAGAGTGTTTGAAAAGAAGTTCACAGAAAGATGACGTGTGTGCCAGTACTAAATGGAAACCTTGGCCGACCAAGGCCGTCATGTACTGATAGCTCTTGTCTTCTGTGCTTCTTTTCAAAGATTCCTTTACTGGTAAGCTTAAGGGCCTCCCTTCACCTTTTGGGGCAACCCTGATATGTGCACAGCAACTTAAAGCGCATTACCCACTGCTGGCTACTTTAATATGTTCCATATTAAAACCGTGGCCAGATGCAGACTTCATGGCTTGAATATAAGCCACACGACTGCTCTGTTTCCCACTTAGCCTGATGGATCTCGACAATGTAAGAGCTTGTTCAGTATTCTGTGATATTTTGGTTGGCCCAATTAAGGGGCTGCCCCAAGAGGGACTATTTCTCATGGGCCAACGTGGCTATCTAGACTTCTGTTTTGACTGATAATGACAGGATCTGGATGCCTTGGAGTGTGGCAGCTTTCCTATGTTTCCCCAATGATCATTCCCTGATACTGTAAAGAATGGTCAAGTCTTAGCTTCTGGGGGAGCTCAGCGTACATGGCTAAGCTTCCCTCTAGATCTGGGATGGGGTACCTGTGGTCTGATAGAGGTTGCTGGATTCCAACACCCGTCAGCTCCAGCCAGCGTAGCTAATGGACAGGGATGATGGAAGTTGTGGTTCAGCAACATCTAAAGATCTGTAGGTTCCTCTCTGCCCCAGCTGCACCTTAGCTATTCCTGATCCTGAGTCTGGTTGTCTTTCCCCCCATCTTGTTTAGATATGTTTTTTAGCTCCTGGTGGCAATTTCTGTTTACTCTACACTTCTCTACTCACACCACCACAAGTTCCCGAGAGTTTGTGGACCTTGTTCATTTACCCAGCAACCTAAACCGGCAAAGACCTGACAATCTTATCTTAATAAGAATTTGATTAGCTACAATGGTTCACAAATGTTGAGTGCGAATGAGCAAACGTACGGCTTCCAGGAGCAAAGATGGCAGCTGCCGCACTCCTTCCCTGCCCCTACCACAGGGGATAAGTCATGGTTTGTCTTAGTGCTACACCCGAACCTGGGCTCATGGTTTGTCAAACTCGAGGCAAACCATTATCTGTAACCAAGGTTTGTTCTTGGGTTTACCACTCATGGTTTGTTGGGGGGAGATAAGCTACAAGCCAGGGTTTGCACATAGCAATAAGCCAAACCATGGCTTAGCTTTGGGTAGCAGCAAGACCAGAGGATCAAAGTGCCCTTGATCTGCTCTCCAGCAACCTGCATGTTTGCTTGTGCTACTGTAAGTAATGGCTTGGCTTAGCATTATGTGGTTACTGGGCCACTGTATCATGATTTCTTCTTTGTTATTTTTTTTTTTGTTAAAGAAAAGTAGGCTACAAATTTAATCTACCTCTCTTTCAAATCAGAATCAGTGAAGGTCCTGTGTGAGTGTCTGGAGGCGGTTGGAGGATGGATGGCGGCTAACAGATTGAGGTTGAATCCTGACAAGACAGAATTACTGTTTGGGGGGGACAGGAGGCGGGCAGGTGTGGAGGACTCCCTGGTCCTGAATGGGGTAACTGTGCCCTTGAAGGACCAGGTGCGCAGCCTGGGAGTCATTTTGGACTCACAGCTGTCCATGGAGACACAGGTCAAATCTGTGTCCAGGGCAGCTGTTTACCAGCTCCATCTGGTACTCAGGCTGAGACCCTATCTGCCTGCGGACTGCCTCACCAGAGTAGTGCATGCTCTGGTTATCTCCCGCTTGGATTACTGCAATGCGCTCTACGTGGGGCTACATTTGAAGGTGACCCAGAAACTACAACTAATCCAGAACGCGGCAGCTAGACTGGTGACTGGGAGCGGCCGCCAAGACCACATAACACAGGTCTTGAAATACCTACATTGGCTCCCAGTACGTTTCCGAGCACAATTCAAAGTGTTGGTGCTGACCTTTAAAGCCCTAAACGGCCTCAGTCCAGTATATCTGAAGGATCGTCTCCACCCCCATCATTCTACCCGGACACTGAGATCCATCACCGAGGGCCTTCTGGTGGTTCCCTCACTGCGACAACTAAGTTACAGGGAACCAGGCAGAGGGCCTTCTCAGTAGTGGCACCCTCCCTGTGGAACGCCCTCCCACCAGATGTCAAAGAGAACAACAACTACCAGACTTTTAGAAGACATCTGAAGGCAGCCCTGTTTAGGGAAGCTTTTAATGTTTGATGTATTGCAGTATTTTAATTTTTTTTGGAAGCTGACCAGAGTGGCTGGGGAAGCCCAGCCAGTTGGGAGGGGTATTATTATTATTATTATTATTATTATTATTATTATTATTAACACATTTATAAACAACCCACTGCCTTTCTTAAAAACCCCTCGATTCTTGACTGCAGCTCCTCAACTGTGCTGCAAACTACAAGAAAAGCAAACAACAGCATCAAGGGGTGAGTTAAATGCACCTGTTGAGATGTTGCATGATATTTCCTGGCCAAGCCAGCTGGACTTTTAGCTGCCCACGATGCTCGATAAAGAAGTCAACCAATGTTCTTGTAATGGTTGCTGAAGTATGGAAGAAAAAGGCTGGGATCCAGAGAATGGCGCCGTCCAGCTTCTTCAGGCTTAGGAAAAAGTTATTTCGATCTTGAATGGTCAACAGGTTGTTGTAGTACTTCTCCAGAATGCTGGGGTTGAAGGTGGTGAGATTGGTTTTCCTCCCGACATCCTTCTGGAATGCCTCAGTCGGGGCAAAATTGCAACGGAAAACAAAATCATATTTATCTATTTCTTGCCCGCACTGACTTCCCACAAGTATGCCGCTATTTCCGACGACAGCACAAATATTGTAGTGCTTGTTCTGAATAGGAGAGACATCTGGAAGCAGCAAGCGGAAGCTGTTGCTAATGGAGAAGACATATTTGTGGCTGGAGTAATCATAATGCATCAGCTGCCCAATCCGAACCATATTCTTCGTCAAGGAGAAGTTTTTGATCACGTCAACATGCTGAAGAATTTCTCGCCTAGAACAATAAAAGAACATGCATTTCATGAACATGATGGGTCTTCCTTCTTATGTTGAATTGTTATCTTTGCCTTGAGGAAATGGGAAGGAAGGGGCTAAATTCACAATTATGTAATAGAAGGAGCACCTTCCTCCATTCCAGCCAACCTGTTTTTTTTGAACTGCTTGTGGTGCCCACAGGAAATATGTCACCTTTCACCAAAAGAAGCAGGGCCTTCTCAGTGGTGACACCCTGGCTATGGAATTCCCTCCCTGTAAAGATCAGATTATCTCCACACTATATTTATTCAGGAGGCAGCTTCCAACCTATTTGTTTCAGCAGACTTTGGGAGCATAACAGGGGTGATACTACTGAGGATTATTCCATTTTGCTTCATGGTCTGCTTTTGTTTTTAATACTATATTTTAATTTTAACCTGTCATTTGAAGAAGGGCAGGGAATACTAATAATACTAATATTTACAACAGGGACTCAGAGCTATTGGCCCTCCCATCATCCTTGGCCATTTTCTATGCTGGGGTTGATGGGAGTTGAAGTCCAACAGTGCTAGGAGGACCAAAGGTCCCCCGCTCCTGATTTACACCAAGAACAGAGTACATTTGGGACTTGGTTCAGACAATACTCTCCATTATTCTAGCTGCTCGCCCCACAGGCTTCTGTACATGCTTATAAAATCTAATGCACACATGCCCAAATTGCACAGTCAATATCAGCACCCCCCCAATATGAAAATAGATCACATGATCTGGGCCTACATTAACTTACCTTCCCTATGACTATCAGGCAGTAAGTAGTGTAATGGCAGATTCATGAATACAGGCTCCCTTCAGGATAGACAAAGGCATGTCTCCTCACAGCCACCCTCCCCTCTACGATTATAGAACCTTCTTGATTACACAACACTTATATAATAATTATAATTAGGGATGCATTGCAGTAATCAATGCAGATCTCCATGTGTTTCCTTTCAGTTAGATCTACTATTTTCTGTGCACATGCATGGGCAAATGATTTGGACTACTCCAATAGCTTCTTTCAGAGTGATTTAAGTTGCGTTCTCCTTGAATTCCCATTGCACGTAACAGAACCGCTTCGAGGATTTCTCTCTTTGCTTAAAATCAAGTGGTCTGAACGCTTTGTGAAATAAAAGGCATTCATTTCACTCATTTATTTGTATTAGCGGGGTAATTAAAATAATAATAATATTCACCTACTGAGAATTTGTTTTGTGGCATGAAATTAATCCTGAGTCAGAAAGGGAATAAAAGGTTAGGTCTTTGCTGCCTTTTCTTTTATTTATTAAATTTCTATACTGCCTTTCACCCGAGGATCACAGGGCTTTTTACAATATAAGAACACAAAAACACGTAACCCACTAACAAACAAAAAAATACCCTACCACAGTTTAAAAGACAGAGGAATGTTTTTGCCTGGCACCTAAAGGAGTCAGACAAGTCTCCCTGGGGAAAGCATTCCACAAAGAGAACCTCTCATGGAGAAGCACATGAAACAGGGCTTCAGAGTATGATCACATTTTGGATGGGTAGTCACAGCTACCCTAAAATCTTGGACTCCCATGAACTCTTAACTCGTGATTTACGAAATCGTAAATGAACTTGTATCTATGGGACCGCCTCTCCTGGTACGCCTCGCAGAGGGCCTTAAGGTACATGAATAATCATAGTTTAGAGGTCCCGGGCCCTAAGGAAGTCAGATTATCCTCCACCAGGGCCAGGGCCTTCTCAGTGATGGCTCCGACCTGGTGGAATGCTCTGTCTCATGAGACCAAAGCCCTGCAGGATTTAACTTCCTTCTACAGGGCCTGTAAGACAGAGCTATTCTGCCTGGCTTTCAATTTGAACTTAGCCTGATCTTTTATCCCCCTTCCTTCCCCCTCTCCCCTTTTTTATGAAGATTGCCCGCTCTGGGATCCCACAGCTAATTCTCCCCTGGCCTCCTTGCTGGCCCAAATAGGACTAATTTAGCCAGCTAGCCCTGGTGATCATCTAATGTTTATTGGATGGATTTCCCCCCTAAATTGATTTTTGAATTCCTAATTTATTGTTATTCACGTTTTATACTGTATTTTATGCTGTTTTTGTTGCATCAATTAAGTGTTTTAAATTTGTTGTTAGCCGCCCTGAGCCCGGTTTTCTGAACCGGGAAGGGTGGGGTAAAAATAAAAAATTATTATTATTACTATTATTAACACTTGTCTACCTGGCAAGATTTCAAAAAAAATAACTTCATAATGAATCAGGAAGTCCCTTCAGAACAAACAAGGAAGTTCTTCTCCACAAACTGAATCAAGAGAGAAAAACTACAGCAGCAGCAGCCACCACCCCACCTTTCTGAGCCTGAGGGCGCATTTGGAAATCTAAGGAACTGCTGAGGGCACTACAAAATACCTACTTCATAGAAGAAAAACTGGTGATGCCCCCTTTCCAAACACCAGGCAAAACATCTGCATGCCACCAAACAAATGAAACACAGATAAAACAAACGAACAGCCCCCCACCCAAAAACATACAAACTGCCCAAGAAACCTCCTTAAAAATAATTGGGAGCGGCAGGGGGCCCTGAAGGGCACCAAGGGGGTATCTGAGAACACTATGATGTTGATGGACACCACATTGGGGAAAACTCTAGGCGAAGAAGACCCCCAAAGGGGAAGTTCATTCTCCATTTCCATCCCAAAGCTACAATTCTCAAGAGTGGTTTAAAAACCAACCCCTCTTCCCAGGGAACTCTGGGAATTGTAGCTCTGGAAGGCGACCAGGGGTCTCTCTCAGCACCCTTAGTGAACTACAGCTCCCAGGATCCTATGGGGCCAAGCAACAACTGTTTGAAGTATTTTAAATATATGGTGTAAATGTGGCCTGGTTGAGTCCTCATTCTTAATGCTTAATCAACCAAGTACATTAAGCTAAGAAGTACATAATATCCTTAACAATATGAGTATGCCTGAACTTATAAACCTATTAACCATACTTAAGGAACACTGACTATTGATTGTACATTACTTAACTGCCACACACCTATCCAATTAACATATCACACCATATCTAATATCCAGGTGTAGCTAAAACCCCCCGCTCCTGTTGCAGGTTGATCCAGTACAGTGGTATCTCGCGTTAAGTTCGTTCCGGAGGTCTGTTCTTAACCTGAAACTGTTCTTAACCTGAAGTACCACTTTAGCTAATGGGGCCTCCCGCTGCTGCCACGCGATTTCTGTTCTCATCCTGAAGGAAAGTTCTTAACCCGAGGTACTATTTCTGGGTTAGCGGAGTCTGTAACCTGAAGCATATGTAACCTGAGGTACCACTGTAGAGGGTTATTAATCTGGCGTATCAATAGAAACCATCAGTATGCCGAAGTACCGAACATCTATTATGTACAGCCCATAACTTGATATGGAACCTCATCTTGTTCTGAGACCTTATTTAGTCACACGCTTCCCTCTCGGATGCTATGATTAATAGATTAATTAAGTTCTGTAGCACACTTATATCATAACTAGTTTCCCTGGCAAATGCCACCCTGTGCAACATCATAGTGTTCTCAGATACCCCCTTGGTGCCCAAGGGTTTGGGTTAGCGGTGGGAAGGTAGATGCTCATTCCTCTATTGCACCTTGGAAGACGTTTGGGGACAATATTGGCCGAAATGGGCCCTTATCGCCATCCCTGATCCCCTTTGTCAAACCTCCTCACAACCCCCACACTGACCCTGCATCCATTTCCTAAAATTTCGCCAAAGTATTAGCATAACTGGCAACCACAATGACAGTCAACAAGGAGACACTTCATTGGAATTTCTGTCATCCTTCCTTTAGAACATTTTATGCTATCTTTGGAGAACCAAGTTCTGTTAAGATCTATAATGAATAACTGCCTAGGATGTAAGTGGAAGCACACTTGGGCTTGCAGGCCTCTGGGTTGTCATATTTCAAAAAGTGAAAATCTGGACACAAAAGCTTTTTTAATTTTTTTATAAAATCTCCAAATAAAATGACATTTTAAAGCTTTTTTTTTTTTTAAAAAGGAAAATCGCCAATAAATCAACACTTCCAATATGGGCTTCCATGTACCCAGGTTCTCCCTGACATTTTAACCAGGTTATGAAACTTCTGCCCAGACGACATTTTCAATGGACTAATCCTGGCTATGTCCAGGAAATTCCAGACGTATGGCAGCCCAGCTCTCTGCAGCCTTGGTCCTTCTTGACTTGGATGTAACCTTCTCTGCAGACTCCTGCCTCCAATAAGCAGGACAAAGTTAAACTATGGAACTCACTTTTACGGGAGGTGGTGATTGCCACCAACTTGAATGCCTTGGAGAGAGAATTAGACAAATTAAAAAAGGACTTGAATTATGGTGCTGGAAGAGACTCTTGAGAGTCCCATGAACTGCAAGAAGATCAAACCTATCCATTCTGAAGGAAATCAGTCCTGAGTGCTCATTGGAAGGACAGATCCTGAAGCTGAGGCTCCAATACTTTGGCCACCTCATGAGAAGAGAAGACTCCCTGGAAAAGACCCTGATGTTGGGAAAGATGGAGGGCACAAGGAGAAGGGGACGACAGAGGACGAGATGGTTGGACAGTGTTCTCGAAGCTACAAACATGAGCCTGACCAAACTGTGGGAGGCAGTGGAAGACAGAAGTGCCTGGCGTGCTCTGGTCCATGGGGTCATGAAGAGTCGGACACGACTAAACAACAACAACAACAGAGGACAAGGCAACTAGCCATGATGCCTATGTTCTACCTTCATTGTCAGAGGCAATAGATGTCTGAAAACCAGCTGCAGAGTGGGCAGAGTGCAGTTGTTGTTCATGTCCAGCTTGCAGGCTTCCCACAGGCATCTGGTCGGCCTCTGTGAAAACAAGATGCTGGACTAGACGAGCCACTGGCTTGATCTAGGTTTGTGTCATGTCTTTATGTTTTAAATAATGCTGACCATGTTCAGATGGGTTAGGGTGGCCATGTGTTCTACTCTA